TAAAGGTGTCCATACTCGTCACGATCAAATCCTGTAATCTCTGAATCCGGATACCTGCAAACATCAGGTCCATCTTCTGTATTCCAGGACTCACAGAGAGCCTTCTTTCGCTGAAAAAAATCCTCGAACCTGCGACCCTTGTGACCCCCGACTGAGCAACTGATCAAGGCCAAAAGAGCCATCGCGAAGGGCACTTGGATCCTGCGGCACGCCACGAAGGTGCTGGGATCTGAAACGGCCGTTGCGAACATGAGCAACGCAGCTCTGCAACTCGGGCGGGTGAGAGGTGCGTTGACGTTTCAAAAAGAAGTCAGAAGATGAAGATGAAGTAAAGACCTAGAATCCAGAAATCCTCCGCCTACGTGAAGGGCCTTGCACGTTTTTTCACTCCCTGCCTTGGACCATCACCTGCCGACGACGAAGTCCAGTTGGACAACCAAATCACAGCCATCGCTAAAATCCATTTAAAAAAAGAAAAAAAACATAGCCCATGGTTGTTTTTGCTGGGACACACGAGCCCACTACGGCAAGTGACGAAATTCCAAGACGTTGGAATCAACAAGACTTCACAACTATCACACCAGAAATCATCTCAGGGCATTATAGTTGAACCTGAAGGTGTTTAAGACCTTTGTGGACACCGCCTTTTTGTCCATCATCCATCCTCTCTTGCCCTCTAACTCTTGCCCCACCTTTCGTTGCAGGCAGACTACTGGCCTTGGCACCGGCTTTTGACTAAAAGGCAATGCCAAATGCTCTGTCTGCTTCTTCCTCACAATTTCTGGCTTGACAAAGACCGTGCGCGAAAACTCTGACCCCAACCAAATGTGTGCATGTCCAGGCCATGTTCGTGCTTTTGGGTTCGTCACTTAGTCCATGTTCGAAGGAAAAGTCCTCAATCCTTTGCTGAAGCAACGCACAGTGCCACACACGCAGAGCGACGCAGAGCAACGCATGCCGGCTGAATCCACCTGATAAGTCCCGCAAAAACGGTTCGCACCCTGGGGGGCTGGCAGGTTGAAAGCTTCTTGTGTCACTGGCCCTGGCGCGAGAAAAGATATGAGGAGAACGGGCTTTAAAGGGGGGGTGAAGGTTGAAAATGGTGGGGCCGTTCCTCTATGTCTCACGAGTGAGGAAAGCCTCGAAGAGCAGCAATTGGAGGACGTCCGAACTTGAGACTTGAGAAAAGCCTGTTTGTCAAACACCTGTTTTGTACGGAGCATCCTCTGTAATCTTTTCGACAACCAGGGAGTCTATATAGTAAAAGGTCCCGGAATTCTTAACTTTGGATGTTTTAGTTAATTGTTGGAGTTGTTGTTTCTTGCTTTTTCTTGTGCTGGTATAGCTGGAAATGCAGATTTCCTGGTGAGCAGCGTTATGTGAACCTCGGAGTGCACTTTGGGAAGCACGGATCGCTGAACAAGCCAAAACGGGTACAGTACTGAGCAAAACGCTGCTGATGCAGGATGACGAGACCTACGCACAAACTACCTCCCGATCCTTCTGGGGGGAGGCCACATAAACAAAGCCAGGGGACCAGGACTAGGATTTGGGATCATAACATAAGCAATTCATGTAATGTCTCACCTGGCTGCACTTAAACTATGATTGTTTTTGTGCAAGAATGCATACAGGCAACTAGGCAACAAATAACAATGATCAAAAAAAGCCCAATCAAAGCACACACATTTTAACAAGCACAAGAAACAAGCAACAAGGAAAGAAGGGAACAGGGGACCGGGGGACCAGGGGACCAGGACTAAGTTTTGGGCTCACAAACATAAGCAACAAAATGGATAATACATTATTGTTTTTTGATGCACGTGCGCAAAAGACCTACAGTACGTAGGACCGGAAGGACAGGGGACCACAGGGATCCAGGGACCAGGGGAGCAAGGGACCAGGGCACCATTGAGGGACCAGGCGACAAACAATTGTCTTATTGATTTGTTCTTTGATGCTTATCAAGTGTTTCTTGATGCTTATGAGTTTTTCCTGATACCTATCCCTCAAAAGTGACAGCCTCAACTAATCAAAGATCAAAGAGACTCACTACGCTACAAAAAGACGAGAAGATGGAAAAAAAACAGGAGAAACAGCAGGAAAAACAAACCATGCAAGAAAGAAGGCACAAAAAGCAGCAAAAGCAAGGAAAGAAAAAGGATTCACAAAGAAGCAGTGAAAAGCCAGGAAAAGCAAAACAAGCACAGAAAAGCAGGAAAAGCAGAGAAGCAAGGAAACGCAAAACAAGCACAGAAAAGCAGGAAAAGCAGAGAAGCAGTGACACGCAAGGAAAAGCAACACGAGCACAGAAAAGGAAGAAAAGCAGAGAAGCAGTGAGAAAGGAAAAGCTAGACAAGCCACACAGAAAAACAAGAAAACAGTTTAAAATAAACAAAAGAAAATAAAGACCCCTCCATATAGTAAAGGCATGCAAAAGCAAAAAACAGCTCACATTGTCTAGTGAGCCAACGTGTTGCATGAACCGCTCACATCCAAATAAAAATATCTGGCCTGGCAAAGCAACTTTTGTGGAGAGCAGTCCATCGTCCGATCCATTTCATTATGTAAGCCAGTCAACATCTTGTGTAATGCCAAAGGCGCCGGACTCGGTGATTTGAATCCTGAATGCGTTATTTTTCTGGGTCCTTCAATTTCTGTTCATAAGCCAAGCCATGGACTCCATCATATTGAGTCATGCTGAGCACTGAAATTGACCATGGACACCATGCTAGGTCCCCTTTGAAAGCACACCATGGAGGTTTGTGGAAATCCCAATTTCAGGACAGGAGATGGCAAATTGGCCTGTCTTCGAGGTGTCGTGCTAGCATCCAACATCATCCAACTGTAGCCCCTTCAGCACAAAGGCCGCCCAAGTGTCGGATCTCAGCCTAGAAGTGGAGCTAGTGGCTGGAGATGCGGGCCTCAGAGCTATGTGCGAAATTCCCCATGCCGAGATCTCCATAGATCTCCGCCCGAGGTGATTCGGGCAGTTTTCGCCATTCCCTTCGACCTGGCAATCCCATCGATAGCCTGCAACAGCAATCTGTTAATCGAGTTGTGCCAAGCTGGGTCATGATGGATAGTGTCTGTCACATCCTCTTTGATGTTACTATGTTTGCTATCCTTTGGTCACACAGAACGATCAGGCTCTAAATGAAAAAGTGCTTACTTGACGTGAAACTGGTCGAGTTCCTGTTCTTGGGCGCAAAAAAGACATCCATCTTATTGCCTATCGCTAGCCGCTAGCCATGGTGCAACGCCCGTCACGTGACGCAAGTGTCAAAGCAAAGCCCTGACATCTGCTGAGGACCGCACATCTCTTTTATATCAATCCTCACATGATCATTTTGAGGACTATCCTCAGCTCGCTGTCGCTCCGTAAGTGCAATTCAGCTTTTGTGGGCAGGTAAGTGTTTTTTCGTTGGTAAGGACCTTGGACAAATGCTGGCTGGCTGTCTGAGGCATGACACGACCTTTGGTGCTTTAAAGATAGCAACACTGAATAGCCATCAACAACCTGCACAAGATTGCAGGGGAGTATGTTTTGGAGATGAAGTCTTTCATTTTGCCCTGAATAAAAGCAACGTGTTGCTCTCAGGCGATTCCCTCACCCGCCCGCAACCGTCTTTTTCGAATGAACGACGGGCGACCTCCTGGGCGGCCCTGCGAGGCTTTGCTCCATGCAAGCGAACGAGCCACAACTTGGCACCTGAAAGACTGGTCAGAGTTAAAACAATGGAGTGATGAACCACGTCAATGTCCTGAAAAAGTGCTTCATAGTGCTTGCCAATCCAAGACACTCCTCCTTCAAGCTCCTTCTAGCTTCTTTTGACTGGTCTTCCACTGGTTTTCATACGTGTTTATGCAATTTCCCTTGAAGTATACCCGTCTCTCACTTCTGACTTGCTCATGGGAGTGCAAAACAAGAGGTACAAAATCCTCACGGCTCGTTTTGGCCTCCACGGATGTGGTTACGCTGCCCACGACGACTCAGGGCGTTCGCGACCAGGGCGCCCCACTCACGATTTGTCGTGGGCAGTGTGGCAAGCAATTCGAGCACTAAGCTGTCGTAAAGGGAGGTGGCGGCCAAACAGTCATCTTGTTCTATCACCATAGGTGGAAGAGGCTCCCTCTAGCAGAATGGCACAATTGTGGACATTGGATTTTAATGGATTTTAGATGTGGTTGCAGGATCGTTCAGAGGGATCCAGATCAAATCTCCCCAGCAGTTCTGCAGAACAAACACGGATCAATAAAGGCGTAAAACATTACCAAATGGGCAACGCTCTTTCGATCTCTGTAAGTTGACCCGTGCAGCTCACAAGTTTATCTTTGTGTGGGCTGCACCATGCTAAACCTTTGAATATCTTTGAATAGGAGGAAAGTCCTGCAAAACTACAGCCAATTTGGCCCGCTTTGACTAGGTCAGTTTCGCCTCATGCTTCAACCACCGAAATTGATTTCACCTGGAACGCACCGAAGTAGCTAGTCCTGGCCTGTTTTTCTTGACTGAACATCATCAGTGAAGCTAGGGTCTGCAAATGTCCACTTCCATCTGGAAGGTTGTGAATCTTTTTCAGTTCAGCAAATACATGTATAAATACCAGGATTGCCTTGGTACAACCGCTGTCCACATGAACCCATGTTGATGAGGTGACCTGCCTCTATTCCGGACATGGTCGGCCCAGCTCCTGAGCATGTGACCTCCCAGCCAATCCTCCTATTGATATTGGTGGTTCTCATGGCCGTTTGAGGGGGAGGGACCCGTTCCATTTCCACTTCATTTGGAAAGAAAGAGGATCCTGGTCCCATCCAAACCGTGTCTGGCCCACTCTGATGGCTCCTGGCGACGAAAGCGATGCAAGGTAGGGCATGAGAGGGCACAGAAAACATGAAGATCATGGCGGACCCTAAGGAAGTGGATGACCTTTCCAACTCAAGTGTTGATTGGATTGCATGTGCAAGACACCCACTGGTTTTGCACCAACTAACACTTGCTAGCGCACCTTCACAAATGGATAACCCTTTAGGACCCAATCTGTTCCCTTGCTCTCCTCATAGCTCTTTAAGCGGTCCAGACGATTGTGCTGTGAATCTTAGACTCTGCTAGCCCAAGACCGGATCCTTGATGATGCATTTCGAGTTGGAAGTTCGTTGATCATTTCTGTAGTGGTAGTGTTGAGCTACTTGAAAGATCTTGAAAGTTCCTGACGGTTATTGCTTCTCTTGAGGCTCACTCTGGGCAGCTTTTGATTCTTCGAAGCAAAACGCCATCGGACGTGAGCTGCGGTTTTGCATCGATCGATCTCCGAAACGACGACCTTGCAACCTTGACGTGATCGAGTGTTGACTCGAGTCAATTGCTGTGTGTTGAGGCGGCGGAAGAACCTCTGCAGGTGACGGAAGACATGGAAAACGATGGTGAAACCTTTTGGAAGAACGACCAGGTTCTAGGGCTGCTCTCAGCTTGTTGCAAATTTTCCTACAACCACAGGGCCATACTGAGCCTCCACGGTCCAAAGGCCCCCGACATCTGGCGCCGGCTTGAAGGCTTTGGTCTCCAACTGCTTGAGATGCAAGCGGTTTGCCTGGCGACAGGGCCCCTTGGCGAAAGTCCCACATCTGTTCTTGGGGAAAGCATGCTTTTGACCTGTGCAGAGCGAAGGGCCAAGAGGCCCACATCATCGGTCAGTTGCCTTGATTTGCTTTGTGATCAGATGAGAAATGAATAGAAATGAATAGAAATGATCTGAGTCAACATCTGACATTTCTCTCGGACAAACCTTGAAGCCACAACTGTGCGAAGTCACGCCTTGCGTTTGAGCAACGCTGGGTGCGTGTCAAAGTAGGCCGCAACGTCGAAGTCCTTTGGCCGCGCAGCGCATCCCATCGGCAGCGCATCCGCCCAGTTCTTACTTTTCCAGTACCAGACATTTAATGGGTTGAGTCACTTTCATACCCCCTGGCACAAAGAATGTACAGTCATATTAATCTGGTCTACCTTGATGTTGATACGATCAATGCTTTACTCATCTGAGATGGTCGACCGGTGCTTGCTTGGACTAATCATGACCCTTAAGTTGTCAAGCCACATTGACATGACATAATGAAGCATAGTGAGTTGCACAGTCCCAAAACGTGGAGACAATAAACTTGGAACATTGAAATGAAGCGTGCAAAGCCTCCATGACACTAAGAACCTACCACTTCACCACTGGAAAAGCCCAAGCACCATGCGTCATCGAGTGACAGCAATGGAGGAACTCTGTACTGCCCACGTTGCAACCTTTCATCGCCACTTTGTCGGTGAAAAAAGCACCCCCGAAACAGCCTGAAACGATGAATTTCGGCACAACAAGGGTCGCCAAAACAAGTGCCAAGATAGTGTCGAGTGCTGAAAGCTAGAGGCCGTGACAGCAACAGCGAACAGCTGAGGTCTTTCAACTTCAACCACCTCAATGCACCCAGAAGACACTCTCCGGTCCTTCAATGCAGGCTTCGAGCTAGCACTAGAACCTGCTTCGAGCTAGCGCTATGGATGGTTGAAATGGGAATGGGTGGCGAAAACGAGGCCAACCTCGGTATAGTTGGATCGGACTGAAATGAATCCAGTTGCAGTGTTGGCATTTTAAAGCTAGATTCGACTGTTTACAGTACCTGACCCCTACATAAAATGTATATTATTTATACAATATATATAGAATATATATATATATATATACCCACACAATAAGCTAGACAATGTCTAGGATCTATGCTGGTATGCATAAGCTCGGAATCTTGATGCTCCATTGATGGGGGCGATGATTCAGTTCTAGACTGATCAAATGAGCAATGGGGAGATCTATTCATCCTATAGCCTATAGAAATGTTGTGTGAAGCGAATGATGGACAGTCTTCAGAGTTCTGCTCGCGGGAGTTCATATTAAGAGAGCTCTCAAAACATGATTGCACATGATGCGCGTTTAAAAGAAGATATTCAATACGTTCTCCGTGTCTTTTTTGCGCCATTGCTCCCAGCCCGGGTGCTTTCTGGAGCACCAGTGGAGCAGCAATCGGGACGCTCAACATCGCCCCATTTTTGGTTCTGCCGCGGATCGACTCGCTTTCTTGCCGTGCGGACTCTCCCAGCACAGTCGGGAGCCGTGCTGATCACCAGTGCGGAAAGCGGAAAGCGGAGCCACGCGGGCCGTAGCCGACCGTCCGGACACCAAAGCCATGTCCTGTGATGCTCTGAGATGCTCTGAGTATATTATTTGTCATATATACGTATATGATCGTATATGTGTGTGATGGACATTTGGATCACGTAGACCAGCTAAGGTTGCTATTGTGGGTGCATGCAATATGTTGCAATCATACAAAGCCCAAGTCCTGAAACATGGGGCCACCCGCCAAATGGTTGACTCTCCTTCTACTTCCCCACTTCAGCGGATGTCCTTGAACCAGCATGGAAGAATTGCCTAAACCTAAGATATTCCAAGGACTTGGCTTCAGAAATCTAGTGGGCTCCAGACGTAGGGCCGAAAAAGCCCAGGTGTTGCAACTGTTGCAACCCTGTGCTGTCGCTGAAGAAGTGAACACTTCTGGCTGTCATCCAGGCCAAGTTGCTTTGAGCATGGGGGTGCTGTCGCTTTGTTCAAGACCAAATTAGGTCCGGTGATATGAACAGTCAAGACATGTCAAGACTTGGCTTTTTCATGGTTCCTTACTACCGAAGAAAGACATCAAAAGCCTTTGTCTGAGACCACGGGGACCCCCTTTCTTTAGGCGGCCTCAATGGCCTCTTTCATGGACAGTGGACTATTTCGGCCACCAGGCAAGTGCTGCACTGTGCCTGCGGAGTTCACCAAAAAGTAGGCACTGAAGTTCCTGGGCACAAAACGAATCAAAGGTTTGGAGCTCCCGGAGCTTCTGTCTTTTCTAGGTCTCTAGGTGTCGCAGTCTCTTTTGCAGTGTATTTCGACATTTAGACCAGATTTAGACCCATGTGACCATGTGGTGCAGGACATCTTCCTCGACATACATTCTTCACTTTCTTCATTGCACTGGAGCCCATTGATACCTTCGCAAACACGGGTTGTCTTTAGGGTGACACTCTTGAACAAGTCGCCTAAGGAATCGAAGACTTCTCCACCTGAACCTCTGAAACGCATGTCGGGCACCATTTGATGTCGGGCACCCCGGTAGAGGACTTCAAGAACTGGTAGACCGGATGAGTGCCAGGGCCATTCACGTCCACCTTCTCCATCAAAATAAATCCTCCACAGCTTGGCTGAGGGGAGTGGGTGAGCACGTCAAACAAAAGCAACTGAGAAGTCCACCAAAGGCTTTTCGTCTCCTGAGCGGGAATCCTCGACAGGCGCACCCTGCTCCAAAACAAAGCTCTTGATCTCTGAGGCACTACCTGGAAAAAAGAAGATGCAAAGAGAACAAAAACTGGAGTGGCAATGACATTGGAATGCATGAGCTGAGAAGTCTGACTTCCGTCTTCCGAGTCTTCTGGTCTCATTTTCCTCAGAATGATCCTTCGTTGCCTCACCGTCGGCTGTCACCCAGCCTACCGAATTCGGCCGCGTCTCTCGGCCTCACCTGGCTCCTGAGCACCGAATTGGTTGCAAGGGAAGGCCAGGATGGTCAGCTTGAGATCCTTGTTCAGCTCCTTGGCTCGGCATCCAAACGCACCCGCCCCCTTGCCCGCCCGTGGCCCTGGATAAAAAATACGAGCCGCCCGCGTGAAAAACGTCGATCCAAACGGATTGGCTGACATCTACCGCTCTCCCAAAAGGTGTGATTCTCTGTGCTTCTTGTTTCCGGGTCATCGGATAGTGGCTTACTCACTCATCTTACAACGAAAAATGCTTACGTCCAGCGATTGGGAAAAGCTGGCCTGTACTTGAAAGGCAATCAAGCGAATCTATTGAATGCCTTACTACTAGGAACAAGAAACTATTAGAAACAACCTCTTGCCAGTTGTTCAGACTGACGAGTTTGTGGTCACGAAGCCATGGATCTCTTGGGCCCCGAAATCGAATTTCGGTGCCCAAAGAATACTCGCCTGGCTTCAATCAGCTCTTTGTAGTGCTTCTTGGTAAAACCTCATCTTGATGCCACGTTCGTCACCAGAACGGTCTTCCCCTGTAGAGAAGAAAAAGGGATCTCGGTCCTTGGCAGAGCAGACTGTCACATGAGGACCATGAGGATCGATTCTTTCTTGATTGCATCTTGATGCAATGCAATGCAATATAAAATTTAGGTCAGGTATGGTCAGGTCATATTTTTGAGGATGATTCAGCAATTACAAATTGATACTGTACCTCGTACACGCGTCAAAGGCCACTTCCTTGCAAGGAGCAAGACCTTCATCCCAAGGCCCCTGCCACTCATGATTGCTCCAAACAGCTTTGATGCGTGGCTTAAAGCAAGCGGCCCGTCGATGTTTTTCGCACTCAAGCCATGGAAGCCTTCAGGGCCAGCACCTCAGACAAGCGGTGCCCATGACCTGCGTGCTGAATTGTCAGTTTCTTGATTGCTCAACGACCTTGATGACTGATGACAGGTGGGCTTGGTGGTCAAGAACCGTCTACCTAGTCCACCTAACTCTTGTCATCACCATCTACATCTCCCAGGCACTGCAAAGGCAGCGAGAAATCTGCCCCAGTCGCTGCATCCACCTGGACATGGCTGCCTCACACAGAGGTCACCTTGAGCCCAATCGCTGCGATGTGTCTACGCACGATCTGGAACCAGTGCTTCAGCTGCGCCCAGATCTAGATCCCCAGTCATGCAAGTCAAATAACCCTGCGACCTTGTGATCTTCTGAGCCTCCAGATTGATATGAGGTTCAGATAGGTTCAGAGGTTCCTTTCGGTTTTCTTCGCTCTGATGCTCCCCACGACCTCACCTGCATCGCCTGGCTCCAAGTCCTCACGTGAGATTCAACAGCCAAGCGTGCTTTGCGGAACAAATTTCAAAGCGTTCTGCACTAGCAGCAGTAGTAGGGCCTAGTAGGGGGTGGTGACATCCAAAACTGGACATTCTGACTTTCTGTTGATTCGCTTTTGGATGTGTGGTTCCATCATGCAAAGGTCGCAGCAAGCTAAGCACCATTCTTTTCAGATCACGCACGTTTTCAATAATCTGCCTCCTATGTAATTATGTGCATAACTCTCAACAAAAACGAAATTTAGTTATAAATATAGGAACATAGGAAACATACAATGTCAAAGTTGTCCTATGTCGTTTCGTCCGTGGACCTGGTGAACAGACCTCTGCCGAGTTCGTGCGAAAAGATCCGCTCACCGAGCTCGCTCTTCGCTGTTCCTAACCAGATCTGACCACCTTGGCGCGTGGTTCTCCTCGTCCACAAAGATCATGTGTTTGTTGGGCTTTTCAGCCTCTAAGAAGTGAAGCCTCCACGAGAGGCGACGGAGGGGCGGACGGTCTCCAGAGGTTTTCCGAGAAGGGAGAGTATTCGATCCCCAAATCGGATCGATGTCAAGATCTTGGAATGTTCCGGGCTGCAAAGTGCAAAGTTCAAGTCTGGAGTCTGGATCAAAATGCATCTGTTTGTTTGCTCCATTCGGCGATGCTCCAAGAATTACTCAATTCCCCACCTTTGGGTCCACAGTTCTCTAAGCCCTGTACTTTTCAGCTCGCTTCTGAACAGCTTTCTTGTCGATTTGCTCCCTCATGTTCACGTAGCGGGCGTCCTTGCAAGGACACCAAGACTTGGTGGGGGAGGCACTGGACATCGTGATCAACAATCTGCTTGCGGCCCAGAAGAGGGGGGTTAGAAAAAGAGGATTGTGGGGGGTTGAAAAGAAAAGATTTTGAGGGGTTGGAAAAAAAATAAGGTTCGGGGGTTGGAAAAAATGGGAGCCCTCCAGAAGAGGCCCATAAAAAAATCGTCCCTCGTTGCGTGGCCAAAGGAGTGCTTGTGCTCTGGCCAGAAGGGTGTCAAATGATACCCCCTGCATCTAGTGAATCTAGTGAAAGTGTGAAGCTTCTCCGGTGGTTGCAAAGGTACAATGTGCTCTTGCCCTTGCATTAGCCAAGTGAAAATAAGATACAAATGCTGAAATGACCCTGTCCCTCCGTATCACCATGTATCACCTGTCCCTCCATTCATCTCCATTCCCGTTCCTGCGACTCGGTCAGGTGCTGCTCCTCCTGTCGAGTGTCACTAGGAGTCCGTCCTCAGGTTTCACCCGGCCAACACATCGGAAAGCTAGGAACAAGGATGCTACTAGGGGCTCCTGGCATCGCTACTAGGAGCAAGGACGCTACTAGGGGCTCCTGGCCTTACTAGGAACAAGAAGCTACTGGGAGCAAAGGGCATCGCTACTAGGAACAAGCTACAGAAAAAGAATGAGGCCAATCACAATCCCGACATCTAAAGGCTCCCAGAGGCCGCACGTGGCTGCTATCTGAACGACCGTCTTTGGGGAATGCATCCTAAACGATCCTGAACGCAATGTGGCGCCCGATTTCCCACATCCTTAAATAGAAAACGCCCACCATTTGTCTGGGCGTCAGCATTTACAAAGTGTGCCATGTCCGCCGTCGTCCCTTTTTGTTACGGGGGTGCGCTGCGTCGCTCTCAGCATCTGCTCGGCCTGGTAAGACCACACAGTATGTGGTTCGGCTTGCCAATAGCTGGCCGTAACAAGGGCATCGCTACTAGTAGCTAGAAGCTGCTAGTAACATGGTATAACTGTATAACCCTAAATCGATCAAAACATGATCTTGACTAAAGTATATCCTAAAGTGTCCAGACTTCCACATGCCATGCTGTCCTGTGCCTCTCTCAGTTCTGCTAAAAGAAGTGACCTGTGATGCTTCAATGTGAAAAGCTCTTATCAAGGCCTGGTATGCAGAGAGCATTTCCACGCCTACCCAGCAAAGGCAGAACGGATGCACTTGATTGGGACACGGAGACTGATTGTTTCCTACTTGCACCGCAACATCACGGGTCCTATCCCAAGCAATTAAGTCTGGGCTTTGTCATTACTAGCTTGCCTGAACCTTCTTCAACTCGCCTATCCTCACCTAGTGCCTGGGCAGTATGAGCATATTCCAGCAAACCTTGGACTCCAAGTCTGTTGATATCAGGAGCTTGAGGTTACCTAGTCCAGAAGTTCGATGCAATTATGGTGTAGTCATTGTAATCCAACATAAATCCATGTTGTGTTGAAACATCTTCCGCATAAACATTGAGACAAACCAGCATGGTTGCATTGATCTCCCTTGTCAAGCCTCCACAAGCTTGGCCTTTGTCGGAACCAAGCGCATAGACCGTCCATTGTTGCATCCAGGCATCCTGAGCGAAACAACCAGGTCCCATGAGACCGTCTGGGACCATCTGGGACCATTTCTGCTCGGTATTCTGCTCAGTGAAGCTGGTACGCAGTTTTTTGCACGAGTCATTGGATTGCTCTACTCACGAGTCAGGGCCACACGGCGAAAAAGGCACGGATGGAAAAGATTCGAAAAGTACATGCCCCGTGCGTCAGTGCATCACTCACCATTGACACTTGGGCTCCCAACCTTTTCTAGCTTGTGCTTCTTCAGGTCTTTCAAGAGCCACAAGACCTCCATCGATGGACAGTCTCAACGGCACGATGTTTGGACAAAACTGCTTTGGCAAGTGGTGCATGTCAGCGAAGCGGCGGAGCTCGAAGTGATTTGCATTCTGCGCCTTTCTTCAGTCCACATTAGGTGCTGTCTTCACTGATCTCAACAAATGAGCATGGATCGATTCTAAGTTTAACTGTGAGATGTCAAAGGAAAAGCTGATGTCAATGCCCCACGAAGCTTTTGAGTATCCAAAAACTTCGTCGCTGTCGCGCTGGCGTGTCAGTTCCGCGTCTGGCATTGCGTCTGGCGTGGCGTTACGGGTGCATCCTGCGTCACGATCGCTCGATAACCGAATCGCACCTCGACCCAGCTCCGCGACATGGCGCACGCCGCCACTTGGGCACCATAGGCAGGCACCTGAAAAAGACCGACCCGATGCCACGAGGGAAACTCAGCGTTCGTAGCGTCCGATCGCTCGGTTCGTAGCGATGCCCTTTGTTCCGTTCGTAGCTTCTTGCTCCTAGTAGTAAGGCCAGGAGCCCCTAGTAGCATTCTTGCTCCTTGCTGCTAGTAAGGCCAGTACCCAAAACAGTTGAGATTCTCTGAATCTCTTGGTCTCCATCCTCCAAGCTAGTACATCCATTTAGTCCAGGTCAACCCAAGTCAACAAAGCTTGGAGATGGCAGTGAGATCCTATGAATCAGGAAGTTTCAGCCGAGGGCCTGACATCCCTTGAAAAGGTGTCCGAGGTTCGCAAGGATCTTTCCTCAAAGCATGGCCATCTGGAATTGATGCCAAAAAGCATGGCCGTAGATCACATGTTCTGCCGTTCCAACCCCAAACAAAAAGGATCAAAAATGGCGATGGCAACCGCTGAGTCGGAAAGGGAGCACCTTTCTAGACATGTAGTCTTTTCCTACTATACAACTGCATAGGCAATATAAAAAGAAGTTAAATAAGCTGATACCTGCATGTCAACAGGTGGCTGTGGATGGTAAGCTCTTCTCAGCCGTATGTCGAATCGAAACCATCATCTCAGAGCTTGGTGAAGCTGGTTAATTCTGCGAGGATGCCGTCTGCGCAGAGAATTAATGCAAAAGAACTTTATAGGAGAGGGTCAGAACCTGAAGCCCCAACACCATGTAGCTGGACCTTCCATGTAGCTTGATCTTTCCGCTACGGCTCAAGAAGGCATAAATTGGCCGTTGCAGTAACCACAGGCATTCAATTCCACCGCTTCGGTGTTGGCGGGCCCATGCCCCACCATCGGCTTGATCGTGTTGGCGTTGCCGAAAAAAACGTCGGTCTTTGAGAGAACAATCAGACGCATTGCGAATCATTCTTCAGTACCTCTAAGGTTTCACAGAATCAATCCCCTCTTGTACCACACTACCACAGGGTCCAATAGTTTGGTGAAAGTGGGATGGGGACATACTTACACTGGAGAGTTCCCAATTGGCAGGCCACTCATAAGACCGCCAGTTGAGGTATGCCGACGATCTCAAATGCAAGGCCCCGCCGTATCACCCAGACGATGCAGCGCCGACTTTTGTTCAACCATGTTTCCATCCGCCTGCCCCACTTACTCTTACCTACGATCAATGTGTTCTGTATCGTAGAAACATTCGAAAGGCATTCCTCAAAAATCAAGACTTGAATTCTGTACCAATCCCTGCAGCTCCTAATTAGATGCCCAGCTCTTTTGCATGCAGCGCAAACATTCGGTCTCACATGATTCGTTTTGTGTATAGTTGTGTCCATCTTGCTCTACAGTTGGTACCTGACAGAGTAGAAGGACCGATAGGTGAAGCGATCGAAGTATCGCAAGTACCGCTAGGTCAAGCAAGGTATCCTGGTGCCATGACCCACAGCCATATCAGAGGTACCTGGAACTTATGATCACAGAGTCATCGATCCATGGATCTGCGGTCAACAAATCGTATGACGCGAAACCTTCTGGCTCTTGGTTCTCGCACCCATTGTGCCATCTGCTGTAAGGCTGTCAAACAACCACCAAATGTCACCAAGTTGGGCCTCGCTCATGTCAGTGAAAGGGGGAAACAGCCTAGAGTCCTAGAGCTGTTTCATGGGAAAAGAGACAAGTAATTAGAGAATCTGAGAAGCAGGAGAGTAGCTGTCATGATTTTCAAAGTCAGCGCATCGTGTCTAAAAAAGATGCAAACAAATCAACTGCTGGATGAGAATCTGTCGCAAAAGCTTCATGAAGTCTTGGAAGTTTTGAAGCAAACGGCTTTGCTAGCAGCTAACTTCAAACACATGGCTTGACCCGAGCTCTTCACCCTGTAGTTGAGTAGATCGATCATCTATGATTCCACTCTAGCACAAAGCTCAAACTATTTCTTCAAGGTCAGCACTGTAGCGAGCTTGGCCGCAGCCCCTCGAAGAGCCAGAACCTCAACTCGTCGGCTCGGTGATCGGAGATGTGTGTCTCCAACGATCGCAGGTGTGCAATGGAAACGCCTTCCTTCGCATGGCTGTTTTTTTGTCATGTCCTTAGGCGTTCGTGAACAAATTGCCTCGGTTTCCGCAAGCGTCGGCTGATTTCGATTCCCCCCAAGCTGGATGTTCAAACATCTCCAGGCGAGACAAGGGGTCTTGTTCATCATCGTCGATCAACGATCGCAGCATGTCTGCAGCATCTCGCAGAGTGCACTAACAGATCCTGCTGGGATCCAATCGCTGCATGCCAGCTGCTTGCTTTGCCTACGCTGTTTTGGAATACCAAACTGAACCAGAAGAGCATCTTCATCGTATGTATTGGATGCGGCTAGAGCTGAGGTGGCTGGATGTGGTAGACTTGCCACGGGCTAGTTATATGGCCAGAATGAGGAGTGGCGGAGCCTGGGGACGAAAGGGGCAGTTTGTCCACACTGGCTATGTTTGAAGTCAACTCATTGGGGAAAAGAAGGATACTTAGGTCCAACTGAACAACCTACAAAAACCTGTGCGAAAGATCAACCACCGCCCAGCGACCACAAAAACAAACTATTGCTGACTACAGTTGAGCTCAACTGTGCCGTCGAACCCGCCTGCCGCGCACGCAGAGATGGCCGCACTGCAGGCAACGATGTTCAGCTGGCACGGATAAAAACCAAGCACAGTGGAGTCAAGAAAGAACCTTGAAGACTTCGTGATGGCATCGTTTATCACTCTAAACCATGACTTGCATAACCATTTGAGGTCCGGAACCGTCTGATGAGGTCCAAGGTCAATCATCTTCCAAGAAGAAACCCATCGCAAAGCCACTCCACATGGAAAGGTTATCTCCATGTTCCCAAACAAGTCTTGGGCTTATGCCAAACTTTAAGCTAATTGTAGGCTGCAAACAGGACAGGCAGCCAGGCACAAGAAAAGACTCCATGGCTGCAATGGCTATGCAAATTGGTGGGCGAGAGGAGAGGGAAATAACGACCACTGCACACACGAGGGCACTCACAATTTTGTCCAAGCGAATCACCCTGCCGCACTGAGGGCAAAGAGTTCATGCCTGCAGGTGGGTATTCTAGGTCTCGGCAAGAGGCGAGGATCGGATGGAAGTACCCCCACTCACGTGCTCACCACAGAATGTCTTCTTCTAGATGCTGCTCTCCAAGAAGGTGCAGAGGACCATGGTCCTCTCTGTCTCTCAGGACTGGGGGTGAAAACTTTGGACATTGTGAGGAGGGCCCTCGGATTCTCTGTTTTTTAGTTCAACCAGCAGAGCATTACAGCGTCCAGGTGAAAATGACGAGCACTCCCCACTGCCGGATGGAACAAACGCATCTCGGACCCCTCAGTCGATTCGCCGGTAAAAGAGCACATAGGCTGCCTGAAGAGCGAGGCGTACCCTCCGACTCACTAACATGGAAGTGGACAACCCCCTCTTTGATCCTCTTTGTATATATGAATATGTAGAGGAAAGTAGTCTTACCCGAGTCCATGTTCCACTTCCATGTTAGTGGTCCTCCAAAGGACTTGAGAATCATGCTTGTTTGAGACCAACTCGTAAGTGGGCAATTCTGCACAGCTGCTTGGAGTCTTTGAGATCTTTGAGCGTCATCACAACAAAAACCCAAGAAGAAGCTCATCCCAAAACAAATGCTGGCAGGAGCATACCAAACACCATCAGTCCGCACATCAGTTCCCCATGGGTCCTCTCACCCCCGAAGTGCCTGAGTATCCAAGTCCTCTTCAGTGGCCTAAGTGGATGAGGATCACGGGGCACAAAGTTGCATCGCTCGAAAGCGGAGAGTGAAGAAATGTCTCAGTGTGCTACCAGATTGACGATTTAGTGAAGCGATTTAGTGAAGCCATTCCTTATTTGCCGCCAATGGATGACATATCCGCTGATGCTGAGGCGCTTTGTGGACAATGGAGTCGTTGAAGGTGAACCATTCTCCCAAGTCCATCCCTTTGGCGTTCGGCGGCACGACCACCTGAGCCGGTGTAAGCCGCCCGGTGTCATTAAAGCACGTCAGCCGGTGGGCTCCAAATGGAATCCATGAGTTCTTGGTCAACGGCACGAGAACCTTCGGCACGATCTACTTCTAAGCAAGAGCCTATTTGTAATGTACAAGTATATATTGTATATACAAATACATACATGCAGTGTCTATTAAATATATATATATATATATATATACAGTATATATATATAATACACATTACAGTACCATTCGTAATCTACAGTCTGTCAGCGCTTCGGTTGTTTGAAGAATCAAAACCACAGGGTGCCCTTTGTGTGAACATTTGATCTTGGCTGTTGGGCTTGAAGCTCCTACGAGGGTGGACCGCCTTTCTTCAACCCAGTCACAGCATTAGCTGTGTAGTGGCCGCCGCCCACGTTCCCGTGGTGGTTGATGACTCCATAAAGCTGGTATCGAGTTCCTTTTGTGCCTTTCTGGCACATATATTCCTTCGCACGTTGCGGGTTGGCTTCAGCCCGTTGCGGGATAAGGGATACTCCGCTTGTGGGATTCTTTTGTTTTGGAAACGAAAGAGATCAAGGGATCAAGCAGACCGACGAACAAACTCCTCTACCAGGTCAGATTCTCTGCCCGTCCGTTCCAAAGGGACAGGTGCCAGTGCCAGTGAGAACTCACCGAAAGGCATCCAAAAGCGATGGCCTCCAACCTAGTAGCGATGGCCTCCAACCTAATAGCGAGGGCCTCCAACCTACTAGCGTGGACAGTAAGGAAATGGATGAATCTAGTCTTGTACTGTACGATTCCGTCCACTATTTACCCCAAGAACCCTCCTGTCCTCGAGATCCAGCTGCATGGGAAATTCCACCGAACATCCGATCTTCACCAACGGACCGTCCAACCTGCCGAAGCTCTGATGGATAGAATGGGGACACTTACTCTCCTGCTTGCCAGTCGCTTCCGAAGCTTCGCGAGCCAGCTAAGGTCATCTAGGAATCAACAGGACAGACTGAAGCCCACTTTCTGGGAACCCTCGGAAGCATTTCAAAGAACCTAATCCTCTTCTTTGGCAAGTACGTTCCCCGTGCCACTGTGCGGATCGGAACCAAAATGTGCTCAAAGCGCAGGCCTTTCGCGCCCAAAGCGCTTGAGGTGGACGATCAGCAAATGCGGCAGGGACCAAAGGTCTAACTTTTTGCTTTGGCATCGGTGCTCCTGAAACCATCTGAACCCCCTCACGAACAAAATCTCGTGGTTAGCACATCTAATCTATAGAGCTTGAGGTGGGAATAGATTGGACCTAACCCACCTTAGCTGTTTCCCTTGTGCCCAGAAAAAGAAAAAATGCATGTATATACCTACAGTACGTCTCCCAAGTGTAGATTTATGATCATGGCGGCTGACCCTGCTGTGACCCGTACACAACCCGAATCGCATCTGCGTCCTTGCACTTGCGGCAGTAAACACTGTCCTGAAAGGCTGCATGTGGCAATTGAGATTGCACAAACGGTTTGGCTAGACACCATTGGCTCAAACAACCGCAGGAATTGTCTCGTTCGACTCGCTGGAGAGTCGTGCTTCGGCATAGTCGTGCTATGTCGTGCTCATGGTCTGACTACAAATAAAATCAACTATATATTTCAATTGTACCACTACTTGCTTGACAATGGATTGGTTGATTTCACTTTATTCAAGTTTATTCAGGCTCGCGAGAATGCATCGCACAACAAAAGTTGCCTTCAGGTGAAAGGGGGGACCCATCAATCAAATGAACTGATGGCCCTTGTTGTGCGAATTGTACCCATCCAAAGCTGCATAGAGCTGCAGCAAACTCAGGGTTTACAGGTGTTTATTCTGAGCTTCGACACGCACAAATGCCTTTGTACTTCGTCGGAGTGTGCAAGAAAGGACCTTCCTTGTGATATGGCTTCTGGATTCTAGGATACACCGTGTCAATATGAAGCAGGATCCGGAAGAGATGACTCACTGAGGGGGTGTCGTTCGGTCGTCCGCGAACTCTCTGACGCTCTGGACCACTTCGGCCATTTAAAAGAAAGCTCAACACTCTCTGTGAAGGGACTCATCTATGAATTCGGCTCAGCCACAGCAAACCCATTGCAGGAACTGCCAGCAATCAAAGTCACCCCTTGCTACCAGGGCTACCACTCTCACGGAACAGAAAGAACTCAATCACAGCTGCCAAGAGATCCAAGTCTCCATCTCCGACAAGACTTCCCTCTCCATGCTTTTCGCCAAGCAGGCGCCCAGCGTGGTCCCTGGCCCTGCAGAACTCTTTCGGTTGGCCTTGGGCAAGGCGTCCTTCACGACCTCCGCACGCCTCAAAACATCGTTCGGGCAGAGGGGTGCGAACGAGGTCAGTTCGACACCAGGCTCATCCAGGGTCGAATCGGAGAGCCTGAGGGAATGTCCACTTCTCCAGAGGGACTTGGGTACTTTTGTTGTCACCCAAATGCCGTGGGTGCCCACACTCCAGTGTCATGACCAGGACTTCGGACTGTCCAATTGCCACTGGACTGGTGTGACAAATACGGGCAAAAAAAGGAAAACGATAGTTCGAACCATAAAGGCAGGTGATTTGCATCTGACCACAATTCAAGGCCCAAGGATTGAACCAAATTGGTTCTGTAAGGGTTGCAGCCAGCAGGTTCTGCAATGTGTTGGACTGGACATGGCCGCTAAGTTGATGTCAATTCAGGATTTGACGGCTGAAAATAGTGACCATAAAGCCTGGCTGGATTCCTGCAACACGACAGCCTCAACCCAACTAGAACATTAATGCTGCCAAGTTTGCCAAGACCTGGAAACTAGATACTCCAAATATATCCAAATATATCATTCATGTCATAGGCATAAACGTAATGCAACAGAGCATGTCAATTTACATTTGCCACGAACACAAGGACCAACAAGAAAACTGTACGTCGAAATCGAATGCTCACGTCGAAATGTGCTGGGGAGGGATGTCTCCACTGTGACTGTGCAAAATGTTCAAGCCAGCCTCATACCTAGCACCGAGGCTTGCTACTAGGAGCAAGGGCATCGCTAATTGAGGCTCCTGGCATCGCTACTAGGAGCAAGGGCATCGCTACTAGGAGCAAGGGCGTCGCAAGTACTTCTAGGATCTTCTAGGTGCTTCTAGCTCTCCAATTCATCCTTGCTGCGAGGCGCTGGTCGAAATCGATCGCAAGTTGCTGAGGGACTTGGAAGGGTGCGTCATCATCTGTGAGGAGATCTCCTGCAGGCCGCTCTGATGGAAACGGGACAAGGAAAAGTGAACCAGTGCCTCTGTGTCACTGGACCCAAAGATTGAAAAAGTTTGCGATTGCAAATGCACTCTTTGCAAACATCTCTCCTTTTCCCTCTCCCTCCCTCTCTGACTCTCTGACTCTCTGACTCTCTCTCTCTCTCTCTCTCTTCCCCGTAAGTGGTGACCCCTCTTCCAATCGAACGCCGGCCTGCGCGAGACGCGTAGATGTCCAGGTTCGTCAACAACTCGAACGTCCAAGGCGGCTCGACGCGACAGGCCTCCAAAAGCTCTTCTGCTGCTGCCTGCGGGGCCGCTCGAGTCAACGTCGCGGGATGTTGTCTGACCCTGCCAGTAGGTCTGGTCGGCCTTGCCACAAAGTTACCAGGGTTGCCAGGGAGAGACGC